ACTGCTGTTGTTGGTTCGTGGTCCGAAGGATTCCCATTAGTATTTTTTATAAAGTTGTCTGGTTGTTAAAAATTCCTTTAATTTCTGTTTCTCTGGAAGTGTTCTAATTTCACTGTCATATTTAAGGGACAGTTTAGTTGGGTATCTGATTCTTGGTTGGAAATTGTTTTCTTTCAGAGTTTTATATATGTCTTTCCATTGCATTCTTGCCTGCATGTTTTCTGCTAAGCAATCAGAACATTATGTTATTGGTTCTCTTATGTAGGTAAAGTTTCATTTTTCCCGAGCTGCTCTCAGTATTCTTTCCTTGTCTTTGATTCTGGAAAGTTTGATTATGATATGTCTTAGTGATTCTTCTTTTGGGGTCTATCCTATCTTATGTTCATTCAACTTCTTGAATGCTTATCTTCTTGTCTTTCATGATGTTAGGGAAGTTTTCTTCCTACAGCTGATCAATTCGCTTTTCTACACTTTTGTTTCTTCTGGTTATAGAATTTCGATAAGCCTCAAGTTATTCTTCTTTATGTTGTCCCACATGAATCTTACGTTTTCTTCAGATTTTTCTGCCAATAATTGGTAGACCTCTGCCTCACCAACCACTAACTTGCCTTCAAAGCTGCCTTCAAAAGTCCAACGTTGTCATGCTGTGCCTGGTCAGCTGGTACACAAAATCTGTCTCCCTGCTCGTTATGGCTAGTTTAGAGAGGGCCAGGGCTGGCTCTGCAGATGTGGAGCAGGGCTTCTCTATATCCAGGCACCAGGTTTAATGCAGATGGCTTCCCCCTACTTTAATGGGGCTTATCTGCCAAGCTTGCCTGCATGTGGCCTCCAGAAGAATGGGAGTTTCCTTGAGGGTATACTCATGTGGAGGCTGGCCATGCCTCTAGTCCCCAGGGGAATGTGGAGAACAATGTAAAAAAAAAAAAATCATCCCTTTATTTTCGGGACCCACTGGTACATTTCTGCACTGCCAATATACTTTCTTGGCTCTGAAACTGTTTACAAAAGCTTAAAATGGCTGTGATACCTCTGTTCAGCTGACGCGGATCCCCAGTCTGACTCTTTTTTTCCATTCAGCTTTCTTTCCTAGTAAGCATTCAACCCACTTCTCTATCCCAAAGCTCAGGGTTCCAAGACTACCGTCCACATCTGTTTCATTTGATTTTCCGTGTCTTTGTTGAAGAGGGTCTGTATAGTTATACTGCCTAGCCTGCCATCTTGTTGCCATCTCACAAAAACAGATTTTTTTCAAATATTTTCTATTCTTCTCAAATGTTAAGCTGCTGGGCCCACCTAGACTCCTACCCTCAGCATGTGGTCTTGCCCGCTACTTGACTCATTTTTATTATTTTAGTCATTTTCCCACAGTCTGCTTTCTGGGGATTACAAGCCCCTTGAAGTTCTCTTGCTGCTGAAAACGCTTCATCTCAATTCTTTTGCTTGCGTCCCCTGCATGCACATCTATGGATAGGTAACGTTTTCTGAATTTTCACTGCCAAGAAATGCTGTCCCTCTCAGCTGATTTGGTTTTAGTCTGCAAACACTGAAAACAGTGTGACTAATCCTGCTCTCCACCCAATTTTGACAACGAGAAAACTAAGCAAATTTTACTGTCAACACTAAAAACTATATATGGACTATGACATTCAATTTTATGTAATACCCTTATTCTTAGTTTCATCTCTTTATAAAACATTGTTTCATTCTCTGCTTTCTTCATCTTCTGTTTGCCCTGTTAGATTGCATGCTTTTTGTCCTGAAAATAGACATACATATTAATAAAATTCAATAACTCAAAAAGTATATATAGAAAAATAAACCTCTCTCTTTAGAAAATAATCAAGACTGAAAAGCTCTCAGTTGTGCTTAAGTTTCAGAAAAACTGTTAGAAATCACGTTATTAATCTTTTCAGCAGCAGTAAGATGAGCTAGTAAAATTGTTCATTCTCAACCACCAGGATTTTGGCTGGAACTTATAAGGCATAAGTTTAATAAAATAGCAAACATACGTCCAAGCTAAATCCACTGCTATCTCCACTGCTGCATTGATTGGGACACAATGACCCTATAGGACACAGTAGAACTACCCACTGGGTTTTCAACACTGTACGTCTTTATGAAAGCAGACAGTCTCACCTTTGTTCTGGTGGGTTCGAACTACTGTCCCTTAGATTAGTAGACAAGTGCTTAACCACTGCTTCAGCAGGGCTCCTTAACACTCAGACAGGAAAACATTGCTAGCTGAGTCATGGTGTGGCACTGTGGATTAATGTGTTGGACTACAAGGTTTGTTTGAATTGCAAGGTCAGCAGTTTAAGCACACCAGCTGCTCCTCAAAACCCTATACAGGGTCCACTATGAGTCAGAATCAACTTGACAGCACTTAACAACAAATTTCTTGTTAATTTATACTAATTCATACAATTTGATGAACCATCATTTTTATTTCTCACTAGAAGAAAAATAACTACCTAAGAAAAGTCTCAGAAATCTTGAAACTTTAACTCCAGATAGGATTCTAGATTTTCATTTTTTTAAAAGTAAGTATTTGTAGCATAAGGAAGCATTATCTCTCCTTTGGGCAGTAAGAACATAAATGACAAACAGAATAATGTAAGAGAAAAAAAAATGGTGTGTTTTTTTCTTATAACTTAACATATACAGTGATTTACTAGTTAAAATCATATTATATTTTAATGGAGAAAAGTACTCTTCTCATTTTTTATTTACTTTTAAATGATGGTTCTCAGCTTTTTCCCTTCCTACTCTCCCACCTTACTGTCACTCCCCTGACATAGACATCATCAATACCTTTGTATGTCTTTTCCAAAGATACTCAGTTCAGTTAATATATATTTTTTGATAAGCCTCTTTGCTCCATTTTTTTTATAAGGTAAGAAATGAATAAATCAAAGACCCAAACCCCCTTCAGAATACCAAGACCATTTGACATTTCTTTTTATTTTCCTTCTTCTCTGCTTCAAAGAAACACTGTCCTATTTCTCTTTGTTTTCAGTTGTTGTTATTAGGTGCTATCAAATCTATTTTAATGAATAGTCACCTAATGTCAATTCCAGAGTAGAAATGCCTTATAGGGTTTTCTTGACTGCAATCTTTATGGGAACAGCTTACCAGATCTTCTTCCTGCAGTGAATGGGTGGGTTCAAACCATCAACATTTCATTTCACAACCAAGTGCTTAACCATTGTACCATCAAGGGGCCTTTGGTTGGTTGATTATAGAAATTAGATTAGTGATTCCTGACATTAAGGAGCTCATAGTTTAACTGGAGACAGTTAAACAAATAAATAATTATAATAGAAGCACAACAATAAAATATGAACTTCTGTCATGGAGAAAGGAGTGATCAATTTTTGTTCATTGATAATAACAAATGTTTGCCTGCTATATGCCAGACTCTACTTATCCATTGGATAAATATATACTGGCTACTTACTATGCTCCAATTACTCTGCTTGTTGTTGTTAAGTGCCATCAAGTCGGTTCGATTACTCTGCTTGGTAAAACAGATATGGTACTGTTGTTGTTATTATTAAGTGCCGTCCAATCAATTCTGACTCATAGCAACCCTGTATAGGGTTTCCGAGGAGCAGCTGGTTGGTTTGAACTCTCAACCTTGCAATTCAACCTGACCTCTGGTCCAGTGCTTGTCCTACAGTGCCAATCCAGGACTAGCCCTCATTCGTTCCTCATATTAATCATATGTAAGTAGTATATTTTCTGTTGGTTAAACTGAGGATCCAAGTGGTTACCTAATGGGGGTCACACAGCTAGTAAATGGTGGAGCAGAGCCTGAGTGTAGGTCTGTCTGATTCCAAAGTCTACATTTCCCCACAAAGCTAAGCATACACAAAGTCATAGCATGCACTAAGTATAAGCATACACAAAGTCATAGCTTGAGACCTAGTAATTTGCCTTTCCCACAAGAGCTCGATTTTTTTTTTTAATTTTAGTAGCCAAAGTGACCTTGTTAAAACACAAGTTGTTTCAAATCACTGTACAAAACCCTCCAAGGGAGGTTCTCTTTCCCGCATCCAGTTCCTTCTGCCTCAGACCTGTGACGTAACCACAACCATTGCTGTCACTTATTATATATCCTTGCAACTTTGACTATATTAATTTATGAACTTTTCTTCAAAAATAATCATACTATACATAGTATTCTGCAAATTGCTTTTTTCCCAGTGTATTTACAGCTGAATGTCCCACCTCTTTACATAAAGATATACATTCTCTTAATACATGTTCTTACAAACTAGAATGAGAAAAGCTTTGTTTTAATGGCTTCAAATAAAATAACTATTATATAATCAGGTTTCTATATAATGGTAGATTTTGTATTCAGAAACCATCTTTTTATAATAATCATGTTTTTTTAATAATCATATTTTTGTATCTACAACGTGAGCTAACTTTTTAAAAAAATCACAATTGCCATATTGTTACCGCTAATTGCTATCCAGTGGACTGAAGTTCATGGCAACCTTAAGTATCACTGAGTGAAATACTGCCAGATTCTATGCTGTCTTCATAATTGTTGGTATACTTTTGCCATAACACTGTAATATTTGTTATGTAGTTAGACTCATCACCAGAGAAAACTCTTAATTATACATATCAGAGCAGGGATTCTTGAAATAAATGCAATTAATTATGAGACCTGTTTCATTATTACAGATACTCCTCCAAGTTGAGAAGTTTCACTTGCTTTTGCTTTGGCTCATTAGTAAAGATACTAAGATTGTGTAATTAAAATATAGAAAAGTTGATAGCCAGAGGACTTGTCTATATACCATCAGGACTAATTAGCAATTTGATAAGTGAGAAATACCACTGTGAGTAAAGACTGCAAAGGAAGCTTCAGATTGTCTTCTTATGGGAAAACAAACAAACAAACATGTTTTTAAATGTATTTTATATCAGCTATTTTAGTTGATTAGAATTTTAACGTGTGAAACCCTGTTATGTTTTCATTACAGTCTCGAGTTACAGCAGTACTGGACTGGGAGCTTTCAACCATTGGTCATCCTTTGTCAGACTTAGCGCATCTTTCCCTGTTCTATTTTTGGCCAAGGACAGTTCCAATGATAAATCATGGTTCTCATTTACAAGAAAACATAGGTATAAAAATATAATGTCTAATTTAATGTTGGTATAAGACTGTCTTATATCCTTCGTGATTTGAACACTTTAGAATTATCTTTCTGTTTTAGGTAAATAACTTATTTTTTGAAACTATTTCCAAATCATTTATTTTTATTTATTTTCCTGAGCTTAGCACTCCACTTTCAATAATTCATGATAAAATGTTATCCTTTGTAGATAATGTTCTCTTGGGAATCAATATTTAGAATGCTTTGTTACATGGGTTGATAGTTACTATATTTTGTTTTTGGTATATCTGCAATATTATAACATTTTGAAATATTCACTATGGCATTTTTTAAAATTAAAGTTTATATTATGTCTGGTGTTTTTGTTTTGTTTTGTTTTGCTTTGTTTTTACAGGGATACCATCAGTAGAAGAACTGATTTCAATATATTGCCACTGCAGGGGAATTAATTCTCTTCTTCCTAGCTGGAACTTTTTTCTGGCTCTTTCATACTTTAAAATTGCTGGAATATCACAGGTAAGAAAGAGCTAAAATTCTTTTTTGATGATCTCAACTTCAGACTATAAAGTGATTGATTGTCTAGAACTGATGAGAAAGAGTTATCTCTGTGTTTTCCAAAGGCTAACACAGTACCCCCACAACTCATCTATCAGTGTGTTATACTGTTGTGGCTGGTGTGTTGTTGTGATACTAGAAGCTATGCCACCAGTATTTTAAGTGCTAGCAGGGTCACCCACGGTAAACAGGTTTAAGTAGAGCTTCCAGACTAAAACAGACTAGGAAGAATGAGAGGTGGGCCATATATGAGGGATTAGCCACTGAAAACCTTACGAATAGCAGAATGTTGTCTGATTTAACACTGGAAAATGAGCCCTCAGGCATGAAGGCATCAAAATATGACTAGGGAAGAGCTGTCTCCTCAAAGTAGAGTTGATCTTAATGATGTAGACAGAACAAAACTTTCAGGGCATTTATTTGCTGATGGGACACAAAACAAAATGAGAAGAAACATCTACAAACATCTATTAATAAACTGAACATGGAATGATGAAGTGCAAAGCTAGGAAAATTGGAAATCATCAAAAGTGAAATGGAATGGCTAAATATTGATCTCTTAAGCCTTAGTGAGGTAAAACAGACAGGTAGGTATTGGATATTTTGAAATAGACAATCATGGTTTACTTTGCTGAGAATGACAAATTGAAGAGTAATGGTATTGGATATATCATCAAAGAGAACATTTCAAGATCTAGAAGTATGATGCTATCTGTGATATGGAACTATCCATACTTCAGAAGAAAGACCTGATAATCTACTTCCGAAAATTAAGCCATTGAAAACTCTATGGAACACAGTTCTACTCTGACATATAAAAAGTTACCATGAGTGAAAACTGGCTCAGTGGCAGTTATTTTGATTTGATCTTTATATTATGCTGGAAGTATGTAACACCTAGAATTGAGAAAAACTGATTATTATGAGAAGGCTTCAAAAAGTCACTGGAAAAATTCCACTATCTTTTCATTGCATTGTTCCACGAACCCTTTGAAGCCTCTTTATATTCAACTTACACTGTTCAAAGGAGTAAACTTAAGAAAACCTTTATTATACATAAATTAAGTTCAAAGTTTGATAAACCTCTAATTTACTTAATTCAGAGCTTCTAAAAAATGAGGGAAATATTTTTTAAGCCTATCTAATTGCCTAAAGATTAAACAGGAAGAAAGCAAAAGGTCATTAAGAAGACAAGAAAGAAGGAAAAAAAAAAAAAAAAAAAAAGGATGTCAGAAGAGATTCTGAAACTTACTCTCCAGTGTAAAGATGCTAAAGCAAATGGAAGAAATGAGACTGAAAAATAGCTGAACAGAAATTTCAAAGTCAGCTTGAGAAGACAGAGTCAAATATTGTAATGAAATGTGCATGATCTGGAGCTAGAAAACCCACAGGGAAGAACATGCTCAGCATTTCTCAAGCTGAGGGAACTGAAGAAAAAATTCAAGCATCAATTTATAGTATTAAAGGATTTTATGGGCAAAATATTTGATTATGACTTTTCATTTCAAAGTGAGTGATGCAGAAAGCATCAAAAGAAGATGGAATGAATGCATAGAGTCACTGTATCAAAAAGAAATGGTCAGGTGAGAACAAACAAGATGGCAGATTGGCTGGACATATAGCAGAGAGCTCCGCCAACAACAATACAGAATAACCGACCAAGCAGGTTAAGGGG